TTTTTTCACCACAGGTCGTCCCACTTTCCTGAGTCCATTAATATGAAGGATGACCTCTTTATGATGTAGCGTTTTATTTTTTTGCTGCAGATCTGACAATTCTGTCATTTTTAAAAATCCCTTTATCCCTAGCAGCAACAAAGTAAAACCATTTTAAAAGCTAAAAAAGATCACATAATCTGGATTTTCTACCGATTTGGATATTGCGGAAGTTCTCAACAACACAGGTGCAACAAGATGAACATTCAGTCTCAATCTAAGATGGAAACACAAATGAACAAAAATCAAAAGAAGGAATAAAATACAAGCGTGTCTTAGTGCTTAAGTATCCGTGCAGAAGCCGATTTCTACAGCTACTAATCACATATTAAACTCTGCAGTCAGAGCACACCCTCCTCCAAGGTCAATGCCCTGTTTAGCTATTTTAATGAATGTGCATATTCTTATTCAGTTTTATTAGGTATTTTATACCAAGTTTCAGAAAAAGAGAGACAGAAAGGCAACTGTAGCATAGCTAACTAACAAAAGTTCTTGTTTCATTAATTTGGACCCTAAGGCTGTGAAATCTAAATCTACACCCACCTTCCAAAGACAGCTCATGACAATCACTTAATTCTTCTTTAATCAGACTCACAAATCATTCCATACAAAAGTATAACACCAAAACATCACCTTGTCTGCAGATAAAGCTGCTTTACACAAACTATAACAGCTTCAAATCAGAACAGATTTCAGATCATCAGATCTCTTGGATCAACAGGATTTGATCACAGCGCCCTCTGGTGGCAGAAAAAAGGGATTTTAAAACGCAGGCATAATGAACTTCTCCAGTAAATCAGAATCAAAAAAAGGTTTATTGCCATTGTCAGTGAACAAACAATTCACAAACTAGGAACTTGCTTTGGTTTTGATGTGCTACACATAACATGAACACGCAATAAGAATAAAAATAGACTAAAACTGTCAGCTAAAAAAATGGCAGGTAATGGTAACATGGCCGATAACGTGACGATGTGTCGAGTACAGAAGACCAGCATGGTTGCATGTTTATAAGCTGTTCACAAGTCCAACAGCAGATGGAAAGAAACTGTTCTTATAGCGGGAGGTTCTGGTCCGGATGGACCGTAACCTCCTGCCTGAGGGAAGCGGCTCAAAAAGTCTGTGTCCCGGGTGAGAAGGGTCAGCTGCTATCCGACCTGCACGCCCCCGAGTCCTGGAGACGTACAGGTCCTGGAGAGATGGAAGGCTGCAGCCAATCACCTTCTCAGCAGAGCGCACGATGCGCTGCAGTCTATGTTTGTCCCTCACTGTGGCTCCAGCGTGCCACACAGCGATGGAGGAGGTGAGGATGGACTTAACCCTCTGATGCATGAATTATGAGATCTTCAACCATGATTTTTTAAACAATTTTTTTCATTCATCTTTAGGTGTGAATGAAACAAATTTCAACAAATATTTTTGTAACATTTTGTTAATTTACAAATACTTTATTACATGTCCATCTCAGTGGACAGCGTGCATTCTGAACATGAAATATGTTGGCTTGACTTACTGAAGTCCAACTGGAAAGGCTCACATGCAATAAAGTCTTCAACAGCTGTGCTTAATAGCAAAAATAAATAAATAACAATTTTGAGTACCTGTCCACTGTAGTGACCATTATGCATCAAAGGGTTAATGATGGCCGTGTAAAACTGCACCATCATCTGGGTCGGCAGCTTGGCCTTTTTCAACTGCCGCAGAAAGTACATCCTCTGCTGGGCCTTTTTGATCAGGGAGCTGATGGACGGCTCCCACCTAAGGTCCTGTGTGATGGTGGTTCCGAGGAAGCGGAAGGAGTCCACAGTGGTGATGGGGGTGTCCGTCAGGACGAGGGGGAGAGATGGGGCTGTGACTTTCCTGAAGTCCACAATCATCTCCACTGTCTTCTGAGCATTGAGCTCCAGGTTGTTGCTGCTGCACCAGTACACCAGCCGTTCCACCTCCCTCCTGTAGGCGGACTCATCACCGTCAGAGATGAGCCCGATGAGGGTGGTGTCGTCCGCAAACTTGATCAGTTTAACGGAGTCATGGCTCGAGGTGCAGCAGTTTGTGTACAGGGAGAAGAGCAGAGGAGAGAGTACACAGCCCTGTGGAGATCCTGTGCTAATTGTCTGAGTGGTGGAAACATTCTTCCCCAGCCGCACGCACTGCCTACGGTTCGTCAGGAAGTCAGTGATCCACCTGCAGGTGGAACTGGGTACGTTGAGCATGGAGAGCTTGTCCTGGAGCAGAGCAGGGAGGATGGTGTTGAACGCAGAGCTGAAGTCCACAAACAGGATCCTAGCGTAGGTGCTCGGGGAGTCCAGGTGCTGCAGGATGAAGTGGAGGGCCAGGTTGATGGCGTCATCTACAGACTTGTTGGCTCTGTATGCGAACTGCAGAGGGTCCAGGAGGGGGGAGGTGAAGGACTTGAGAAGAGGGAGGACCAGGCGCTCAAAAGACTTCATGACTACAGACGTCAGCGCCACAGGCCTGTAATCATTCAGTCCAGTGATACGGGGTTTCTTAGGGACAGGGACAATGGTGGACAGCTTAAAGCAGGCTGGAACATGGCAGGACTCCAAGGAGATGTTAAAGATGTCCGTGAAGATTGGACACAATACCTCTGCGCAGTGTCTCACGGTAGCGGGGGAGACACCGTCCAGGCCCGGGGATTTCCGTGGGTTTTGCTTACGGAAAACCCTGAGCACATCCTCTTCTGTCACTGAGAAGGCAGTGGAGGGGGAGGGGTGGTCAGCGGGGACTGTACTATTCACAGTGGTGAAGGTGGTGGTGGTGGTGGTGGTGGTGGTGGTGGGGGGGGGGGCATGTGACACCAGAGTGGCTGAAGAAACCTGTGCAATAGTGGGGGTGAGGGCGGGGTGTGGGACTTCAAACCTGGCATAAAAGGAGTTAAGTTGTTCAGCCAGTTGAAGGTCGTCAGCAGCATGTTGGGCTCTAGGCTTGTAGTTTGTGATTTGCCTGAGCCCTCTCCAGACAGAGGTGGTGTCATTGTCAGAGAACTGCTCCCTTAGACGCTTATTGTACCAAGATCTCGCCTTCTTCAACTCTTTAGAGATAAAGATACTCTTTAAAGATGCATACAAAGGCGCGCGCGCACACACACAAACACACACACACACACACACACACACACACACAAACACACACACACACCTCGTTAAATCGGACAATGAAATATCAGTGTGTAAACAAGCTGTCACCTTGATAAAGCATTAAATGAGAGATAAAATCTGTGTTTTTTGCTGAATCAGCTCTAATAGAGACATTAAGTCCCCTCTAGCCAAGAGGCACTGCCTCAAAAAAGCACAACAAACACAATTATTACAGTTTATGTTCGCAAAAAGCCATCTCAATTTGAATTTGAATAAATAAAAACATCTTTTAAAGACATTCTTCTGTGATTTTGCAGACTGTCATGAGTCCTAAAACAGCTGGTGGAGAGAAGCGGTAAAGTTATAAAAGAGGGAAAAGATGGAGTGATAAGAGGGAACACTATCCTCCACCAGCGCCCGCTCCTCCTCCTGCTACACGCTTTATCCATTACCACCGAGAGAGAGAGACACTGAAAGTTTCTCACTCCTCTGAGACTGAAGGAGATGGTGAAGGGACTTTCTCTCTTTCTCCTCTCCTTTTATCTCCTTTACACACACACACACACACACACACACACACACACACACACACACACACACACACACACACACACATACACACACACACACAGAGCTAATGCTGTGCATGGAAGGAGGTCCAACAGAGGAAAGAAAGAAGGAAGAAAAGAGAAAGGGAGGAAAGAAAGACAGAGAAAAATAGAGGTGAAAAAACAAGGGAACATGAATAGACTGAGAGTGCAGTAAAGGATTTTTTTTAACAACCGTTTTCACTTTCTTTTTTTTCTGCAGGAATTAAAAACATCACTGAAAACCTCCACAGCTCCTTTGATTTATACGATTTATGGGACGTTTCTCAAACATCTGTGGCAACAAATGAAAAATGAGAATACAAACACACCCCAGTCCAGGTGCTTGTTTTGTGGGTTAGTGTAAACCTGGGGGGAGGGGGGTTACAAGTCCAGCTTAACCCCCTCCCTATTAGCAGCTATGCTAGCATCAGCACCTTTTCAGCTCAATAGTAGAAGGTTAAGATCATGATGGGACTCCAGCAATGACAGAAGGGCCCAAAGGTCATCATCAGAGAACTGGAGAGCCAAAGAAGTGAGAATAATTATGGAGTTTAAATGCATTCCGAGCAAATTTAGATGGAATAATAATGAGAAAACCCCATTCTCTGGTGATTTGTTAAAACTCATTATTCAGCGGCTTGTAGCAGTTCACTTTACAGCTGTGTGTTTGCAGATTTAGCAGCATTTCCCTTCATTCTTCCCAGTTTGTCTTGATTTTATTCAATTTACAAACAAAAAAAAAAACAATGAAAACATCTGGATTTGGTAAAAATGCAAAGAGCTACAAATAGAAGCAAGAGCAGAAGAGAAGTGTTTCTTTACAAATCTTGTTTTACTGGTGAAATATAGAGTTTAATGTGGGTTTTCAGAAATGTGAAAAATGTTGAGACTGAAGCTGAACTTTAGGAAAATGATTTACTTGTCAAGAATCGAGTCAATTATTTGTGCAAAAAAATCACATAGGGTGAGTTTGTTGTGCAAAACAACCTTTTTTAAATGTTTAGGCTTTCTTTTAAAATGGCTAAATATAAGTAAACATCAGTTTCTTCACAAAGCCTTATGCTCTGTTCTCAGGAAAGGTAGGCTGACAGTCTTCATAGTCAGAATCAGATATTTTTTGCATTAAAAATAAGAAAAGCATGAAAAAGCTCCTAAAAGCTGCTATTTTCATTCATTTTAAAACACGTAGGGAGTATTTTTGTAAACATTCTGCAGAATCTTTCAAACCTTTTCCTTTCAAAAAATAAAAAAATAATCTGTAAAGCCGTCCTACCTGTCGTGGTCGCGACCAACGCCCCACACACGGATGCTGCTGATTGGCTGAGAGTGGAGCAAGCTGAGGTCATCTGGGTCAACCAGGGTCAACATGCGATCCTGAAGCACTAAAAGCATACCTTTACCCTGCAAGATGACAAACAGGACTATGTATTTACATCATGTAGATGTGGTTTGTGAACACACTGACTGGTTAATGGACATGTTAGACTCCTGCTGCTGCCTGATGTTAGCTAACTCAAAACATGATAATGTTGTTAAGCCTGATTTGTTGGGTTGTTTTTAGTGATCAGGATAATTATAGTGATTAGTCCCTTATAGTTCACCTAGTGTGGTGTATGATTATAAGAGTTTAAATGGAAGTTAATATCTAGAACATTATGGCTTTAGCCCCCAGCTCCTATAAAGCTCCATGTGAATAACCTACTAAATAAATAAGCAAACATCTGTCATTTCATTAGCTTCTGCTTCATTAAATTCTCCTTTAACTCAATATTTCAAATTAAGCCCTCTTAATTCATCATTGCATTGATGACGATGTGATCCTGTTGGCTTCATCAGAACGTGACCTCCAGCTTCACTGTGTCTGGAGCCTGCAGGTCAGGGACGAGGTCCTGCCTCACGCGGAGGAGTTTAAGTATCTCAGGTTCTTTTTCCCAAGTGAGAGAAAGCAGCAAGAGATCGATAGGCACTTATAGGGCGACAGTGACAGAGGAGTTATGGGCCCGCCCCGTAACCCTACTTCCCTGCTGGTGGTGGTCGGACGGGCCAGTGGCGTCAGTGTTCTGCAGCCTCGCCTTCGTCAGTGCACTCCAGGGCAGCTGTGGCTACAATGTAGTTCATCAGCGTGTACATGTGTATGTGAATGGATGAATGACTAGTTGTGTTGTAAAGCACCTTGGGGGGTTGTAGGACCCAAGAAGGTGCTTTATAAAATTCAGACCATTCACCATTTATCTTTTTATTACATTATCTGGAGCAACTATTTTTCTGCACACAATTTCCTTCAGGATTAATAAAGTATTGTGATTCAGATTGGTGTTGCGACAGTGGTGCTGTACCGGTCCGTCGTGGTGAAGAGAGTGCTGATCCGGAATATTTACCAGTCAATCTACGTTCCTACCCTCACCTATGGTTAGAAGCTTTGGATAGTGACTGAAAGAACGAGATCACGGATAAAAAAGGCTGAAATGAGTTTTCTCCACAGGGAGGCATCCAGGAGGCATCCTGACCAGATGCCCAAACCACCTCAACTGGCTCCTTTCGATACGGAGGAGCAGCGGTTCTACTCCGAATCCCTCCTGAATGTCCGAGCTCCTCACCCTATCTCTAAGGCTGAGCCCGGCCACCCTACGGAGGAATCTCATTTCGGATGCTTGTATCCGCGATCTCGTTCTTTCGGTCATTACCCAAAGCTCATGACCATAGGTGAGGATTGGGACGTAGATCGACCGGTAAATCGAGAGCCTGGCTTTCTGGCTCAGCTCCCTCTTCACCACAACAGATCGGCTCAGCGTCCGCATCACTGCAGACGCCGAACCAATCCGCCTGTCGATCTCCCGATCCCTCCTACACTCACTCGTGAACAAGACCACAAGATACTTAAACTCCTCCACTTGAGGTAGGACCTCTCCCCCGACCCAGAGTTGGCAAGCCACCCTTTTGCGGTCGAGAACCATGGTCTCAGATTTGGAGGTGCTAATCCTCACCCCAGCCGCTTCACACTCGGCCGCGAACCTACCCAGCAAGAGCTGAAGGTCAGAGCTGGATGAAGCTAGGAGGACCACATCATCCGCAAAAAGCAGAGACGAGATTCTCCTGCCACCAAACTCGACACACTCCACACCACGGCTGCACCTAGAAATTCCGTCCATAAAGGTAATGAACAGAACTGGTGACAAAGGGCAGCCTTGGCGGAGTCCAACCCTCACCGGGAACAGGTCCGACTTACTACCGGCTATGCGGACCAAACTCACGCTCCTCTGGTAAAGGGACTGAATGGCCCTTAAAAGAAAGCCACCCACCCCATACTCCTGGAGCGTCCCCCACAGGGTGCCCCTGGGGACACGGTCATAAGCCTTCTCCAAATCCTCAAAACACATGTGGATTGGTTGGGCAAACTCCCATGCCCCCTCCATCACCCTTGCAAGGGTATAGAGCTTGTCCACAGTTCCCCGGCCAGGACGAAAACCACATTGCTCCTCCTCAATCTGAGATTCAACTATCGATCGGACCCTCCTCTCCAGTACCTTGGAGTAGAACTTTCCAGGGAAGCTGAGGAGTGTGATCCCCCTATAGTTGGAACACACCCTCAGGTCACCCTTCTTAAAGATGGGGACCACCACCCCGGTCTGCCACTCCACAGGAACTGCCCCTGATCACCACGCAATGTTGCAGAGACGTGTCAACCACGACAGCCCTACAACATCCATAGCCTTGAGATACCCAGGACGAATCTCATCCACCCCCGGTGCTCCGCCGCTGTGAAGGTGTTTGACAACCTCAGCAACTTCTGCCCCCGAGATTGGACAGTCCATCCCCAGGTCTCCCAGCTCTGGTTTCTCCTCGGAATGCACGTAGGTGGGATTGAGGAGCTCCTCAAAGTATTCCTTCCACCGTCCGACTATAGTCCCAGTTGACGTCAGCAGCTCCCCATCCCCACTGTAAACAGTGTGAGTGAGTTGCTGCCTTCCTCTCTTGAGGCGCCGGACAGTTGGCCAGAACCGCTTTGGAGCCGATCGATAGTCTTTCTCCATGGCCTCACCAAACTCCTCCCACGCATGAGATTTTGCCTCGGCAACTGCCACTGCTGCACCCCGCTTGGCTATCCGGTACCTGTCTGCTGCCTCCGGAGACCCACAGACCAGCCACGACCTGTAGGCCTCCTTCTTCAGCCTGACAGCTCCCCGAACCTCTGGTGTCAGCCAGCGGGTACGGGGGTTGCCACCACGACTGGCACCGGCCACCTTGCGACCACAGCTAGCAACATCCGCCTCAACAATCGCAGAGTGGAACAAGGCCCACTCTGAGTCAATGTCCCCCACTGCTCTCGGGACGTGGTCAAAGCTCTGCCGGAGGTGGGAGTTGAAGACCGTCTTGACAGGTTCTTCTGCCAGGCGTTCCCAGCAGACCCTCACTATGCGTTTGGGTCTGCCAGGTCTACGCGGCATCTTCCCCTGCCATCGGATCCAACTCACCACCAGGTGGTGATCAGTTGACAGCTCCGCTCCACTCTTCACTCGGGTGTCCAAAACATACGGCCGCAGGTCAGATGATACAACTACAAAGTCTATCATCGACCTGTGACCTAGGCTGCCTTTATACCAAGTGTACAGAATGGGCATCCTTATGTTCGAACATGGTGTTCGTTATGGCCAAACTGCGGCTTGCACAGAAGTCCAATAACGAAACACCACTCGAGTTCAGATCAGGCGGGCCGTTCCTCCCAATCACACCCCTTCAGGTCAAGCTGTCATTGCCCACGTGAGCATTGAAGTCCCCCAGCAGGACAATGGAGTCCCCTGATGGAGCACTATCTAGCACTCGTCCCAGGGACTCCAAAAAGGGTGGGTACTCTGAACTGATATTTGGCCCATAAGCACAAACAACCGTCAGGACCCATTCGCCGACCCGAAGGCGCAAGGAAGCTACCCTCTCGTCCCCCGGGGTAAACCCCAACACACAGGCAGAGAGTCTTGGGGCTAACAAAAAGCCAACCCCAGCCCTCCACCTCTCACCCGGAGCAACTCCAGCAAAGGAGAGTGTCCCACCCCTCTCAAGGACTTGGGTTCCAGAGCCAATGCTATGTGTCGAGGTGAGTCCGACTATATCTAGCCGGTACCGCTCAACCTCTGCCACAAGCTCCTGCTCCTTCCCCGCCAGCGAGGTGACATTCCATGTCCCAAAAACCAGTTTCCTTGTCCGGGGATCAGACCGCCAAGGCTCCCGCTTCGGTCTGCCACCCAATCCACACTGCACCGGACCCTTCATGTTCCTCCTGCGGGTGGTGGGTCCACAGTTGGATGAGCCCATGTATCCGGTTCGGGCTGGGCCTTGATAGTTCATCCATGAAAGATCCTCTGAACCGTTCTTTGTCTCACCCTTCACCTAAGACCAATTTGTCATGGGAGACCCTACCAGGGGCATAAAGTTCCCCAGACAACATAGCTCATAGAGGCGTTGCTTTTGGCCGTAAATACGGAAATGAAAACTAGGTCATGTTGTGATATGCTTGTCAGCCACTAGATGGTGCCATCAGATCAAAGAAATAAAACAGCTACTTTAGATATCACATTAAGGAAACAAGCTCACATTTTTGTTTTATTAGACTTGCTTGTTTGTTGCAACATCTGAGAACAAAGTATTTGTACATTTTAAATATTTCTCATATGTCAACATGGAGGAACAATCCTGCCAAGGTGAACGGGAAATAATTAAATATTTGAGGAAACAATTAGAAAATATTACATATACATATATAGTAATAATTTATGATTACATGTAGTTGTTTAATTACAATTTTGTTGTCTCAGTTCTTTATTTCCTGATATATGTTTGGGTCCGTTTTGACAGCATTCCATATTTCAGGAACTGTGTAACCTTAGTTAAACAAGACTTAATAATGTTTTGAACAAAACAAAAAGTCTATCAGTAACAAGTACTAGATTAAAGCCATTGTAACTCTGGGTTATTAACATGATAACAGGCTACAGATAACTTTTCTATTTGCATCTTCACTAATAATGAAATGATTCTTTTATTGCTGCTGGTGTGTAAAGTTCCTGATTAGTTGCTGTATGCTTCAGCTGCCACAAGATGGCGCTTTAGAGCCACTTTTCTGTTCTCTAGTCTAACCAGTGGACTTCCATGTGAAAAGCAAGAAAATCTGTTATTTTACCAAACACACTGACCTCTCCCCAGACCCCGGCTGAGTCTCTGATGTCCCTCCTGCAGTAGGACAGCTGTCTGATACAGTGGTGCACCGCCACACTGCTTCTCCCCTCACACAGGTCCCTCTCCGCCATCTCCACCCAACCCAGAGATCGAACTGGAAACGACTGCCAGAGACAAACACAGCTTATTTTTTAGACAACCTTGTTGCCTCCTGTACCGCACAAACTTAAAGGGACATCGCTGTGTTGTGATTTTACTGGGATGCTCATGGATCGTTACAGCTGTTCAAGCTGATGCATTAAAACTGGGGTCTGGGTCCTCGCAAGATTGTCTGTGCTAAGGTTGTGAGGCTAGCAAGATTTTATAAGTAAAAATTAAATGTACAAAATCCCAATAACAAACCTACATCATAATCAAAACTCTGTATAAAAGTTATAACTCTGTATGTCTGTATAAATTTGTTACTGATCACATTTAATGTGTGTGGAAAAGGGGGTTGAGAGCTCCCAAGGAAAAGGTTTGGGAAACACTGCATTAATGTAAAACTGTGAGGAGCTCCTGTTCAGCAGATGTTTACATCCTCAATATTCGTTTTAACCCAAACCTTTGTCTTGCATTATTATTTTATGAAGCTTCTCGAGGAACGGTGGTTTAATCTCTAACACAAAGGTAAAGCAGCACACATAAAATATAAATAATCTTCCTTTCCTGTCTTTTTTCTTGTCATTTTTCTATCTAGACTAATTTTCTAAATAAATACCCTGTAGCTTCAGCCTGTAAAACATGTTGTTACTCAATAAGAGCAGCTAAAATGATCTGGCTGTAGCTTTTAACCAACTTAGTTCACAAAAGTCACCACTAAGGGGCGCTGCAGCAGAGACAGCAGACCAGCAGCAGCAATCACCAGGATTACGTCATTTCTAGAGAAATCTGGTGTTTCCCTCAATAACAAACATAAGATTTAATAATTGGTTCTTAAATTTTGCACCTTTGCACTCAAACTTCACTGTTCATTATTCGTTGTGCTTAAACATGGCTGCAAACATAGAGGTGAAAACTGAGGAATTAAATCTTTTGAGAAAAAACATTTTATTTTACTTGATGCAATGAAGGAAATAAAAAGAAAGACAATGCCAATTAAAACAAGGTAAAGATAAACAATACAGACCACGACTCTTGCAGACAGAAGCCATGGTGTTGTGATGATTGCTGAATACATTCTGACCACGTCTGGCACAAACCCAACTAACTCAGAGAGGAGGATGCTCTTTTAACGTTCAACATGCGTGAAACCCCTCAGCTGGAGTCTTTTGTAATTCTTGTTAACATCACACTGCTTTTCAAGTTTTGAAACCGATTGCAGGCATAAAAAGTCAAACCCAATGTTGCTTGTAGAGCCTGTATATATTATATTTAAGGTTTACCATCGCTTCTGGGTCAGAAAATGTGCTGTTGAGGTCCACAGTCTCTAACTGAGCTGGAGGACTGCAGGGAAGAGGAATATAAGGTGGAAGATGGGTGTTAAAGTCAAACTTTAGATAATAAACTGCCTTTTTGATTAAATATGTCAGCCTGTGTCTCTTACTTGAGCTTCAGAGAGGCGTATCGGAGGGTAGCTCCTTCAAACGCCTTCAGACTGGGGTCTGGATACACTGGATAATCCTTCAGCTCCTGATGAGCAAACACAGAAGGAAAACATCATCATCATCTCCAAGGTCAGTGTTCACAGGAAAACCTCCAGCTCACAGGTTAAACTAAAACTCTAGCCAAATGAAACGTACTTGGGCAGTGCAGGAGGTGTTGGCGCTGAGGCTTTGACCAGGGGAAGGGATAACTTTAGAGGGTGTAGAGGAGGAAGAGGAGAGGGAGGAAGCATAGGGGGAGGGGACTGGCTCCACCGAGCTGTCAGATATCAAGCTGCTGGGGCGCTGGAGGGGACAAAGGGATGACTGAAGATGAAAACAAACAGTGAGGGAAGCAGGATTAGACACATATGGATGGCTCAACTCTGAGGCTCACGCTGTTTCACAGAGCACGACTGAACACACGTCACAGTGATCAGGGCGAAAATTATAGACATCAAACCTATCAAAACAGAATTAAGCGAAAGTTTGACTGAGTTTTCTGCCCCTTTACAGAGTCTGTAGCTACAAGTAAGAGCAGGTCTGTAAATGGACGTATCCTCCTTCAGGAAACAGCTGGGCCTGTCACAGGACGGATACCCCCCGAGGCGTGTTGGGTCTCACCTCGTTCGGCAGCTTCAGAGACTCCTGAGTAACTTTTAGTGGGTCAGGATCGGGATCTGGTTCACTGCCGGAGGCGGTTTGTTGGTTTCCGGAGGCGACAGGCCGGTCGTACTGCGTGGTGCCAGTAGGAACGTGCCAGAAATAGACTTCTGATGAGTCTGAGATCTCCCGCCAGCCTGGGGGCAGGTCTCCTTCTACCCACACATCTGCTGATGGATCACAGATATTACACACAAGTGTATCACGCGTTCTATATTAACACGTGTAGATTAAGCCATGTGGATACAAAGAGACTAATAATCGCTGGGAGGAACATTTCAGTGATGGCCGCTCTGTTCTTATTTAGTTTCTGTTGTCATAGCAACTCCTGGGCTCGTACCCTGTGGTAAGAACAGGCAACAGTCTCGTTATTTCTCTTCCTCTTATGTCTTTTTTGTCTTCATACATCCCAATTTTAAGTCAAAGCACCATCCTAATGCCAGATTTTAGGTTAGTGTGATTGGCTGACTTCAGGAAAGAGACTTCAAATACAAATCTATAAATTACAATGTGTGAAGTATTCATTCATTCTTGAGGTAACTCACAGAAAATGAACTTTCTTTGTGATTAAAAACGTGTCGTCTTTTTTCGTGAGGGGGTGGGGTGATGTATCATCTCAAGTATGATTCTTGCAGCCCAGAACAAGCTGCCCCTTTGGGATTATTACATTTGCATTTTATTTCTATATTTTAAAGTTGTGAAAAACAAACCCACCTACCGCTAAATAGGAATTGTTTTACTGTTTTTTTTCCCCCCCTTCTCATATCTTGCTCTCTGCAGTGTCCTGCACTTTTCTTCAGCCTAATGGCTCTCTGCACCATAAGGTTGCTCAGGGGGGTCCTAAAGGCTCCAGCAGCACTGCTGTAGTGACCAGCGTACTCATGAAGTGTTTTATTTATTTATTTTAAAGTCCAGATCAGATGGATTGCGTGAGGCAAAAAGATGGGGAGGAGAAAAGGAAAGAAACAAATAAACGAAACATCAGATTAAAATCCTAACCTGTGTCCCGTGGAGACTGTGGAGACGAGGACTCTTGAGACAGGGTGGTCCAGCTGGAGTCTTCGTCCTCTGAAGGAGTGTCGGGAGTCAGCTCCATCCTCAATCCCACTTTAGGGGCACCACGCTCTGGATCTGGCTGGGTGGGGGGGCCGTTGTTTCTACCTGGGGTGTTTCGTTCAGCAGCTCTTGTCTGTTTGGGGGAGAACGGTGGGTACTGCTGCAGGAACTGGTTCTCGTTGTTGGGGTGCAGCTCCACTTTGATGACCCGAGGCTGGGCGCTTCGGCCGGGCTTTGCAGGACTACGTGGACTCGCGTGAACTTCGGTGCTTAGCTCCTCCCTGATTGGTGCTGGACCTTGGTTCTGGAGGTGGTTGTCTGATACCCACTCTGGGCTGTTAGTAGAAGAAGAGGAGGTGGAGGAAAGAGGAGCTTCAACCACCACTGGTAACAGGGGTTGTCTTGGTGTTGGTGTGGGCTCATCTTCCTCATCCTCTACCACAGGCTCCACATCTTCCTTCTCCTCATTGCAGTTCTGCTTGCTGCTGTCCTTCTCCTTCTGGCTCTCTCTCTCTTTAGCTGGACTGTCCTGCTTCTTCTCTGAGGAGGGCTTATGCTGCTGCTTCTCCTCCTCTTTCTTTTCACAGCTAGGGTCCAGATCCCAACCCTTGCCATGGTAGTCCAAGAAGCTCTTGGTCCTTCTGCGAAATGGAGGCAACTGTGAGTTGTCCTTTCCAAACTCTAGCCAGTCAGAAGCAGGGTTATTGAGGAGATCGTTGTGAATTTTGTCCACTGTATTGGCTCTGCTCAGCTCCAGCTGCTGGCTCTCCGCCCGTCTCTGCATGTTGGCTCCATTCTTGGCCAGTTTGGGGTTGGTTGAGTTGGAGATGGAGGAGGATGAGGTGAAAGAGGAGGAGTAGAGGGCAGAACTAGAGGAGGACTTGGTTGGGAGGCCTCTACCTCTGGTTACAGGTTGGTATTTAGAAGACAAAGCCAGGTTGTCACTTATCCCCATGGCGCTCCGCACGCTGGTCATGGCGTACCTCTGACGGCTCTTTGGCAAGGTGGCCGAACTTCCTGTTTCCATGGACTCCTTGATGACATCGCGTCCAAGCAGCTGGTTGTATGACGAGCGAAGACTCAGAGAGGTGGGAGGGGTTGCAGAGGGTCCGTTGCGGTTCGCGAGACCCCCCGTTGATGGGGAGGAGCCAGAGCGGGAGAGAGGAGGAGTTTGTGCTGACATCATGTCAGACTGGAAATACACCTCAAAGATGGAGCTAGTGGGAGAAGATAAATCATGCAACAGACATTATTTTACACGCCAGCATTTTCTCTGACATCGGTTTTTATGTTGTTCTTTCATAAAAATTCAAACCACCTTACAGATGCAGGATTCTGTTAATACAACGGGGTGCAGACTCTGTTCTAGTCCAGTTAGCAAATGAGGTGTCGCTGTTGAAGTGTCAAAAATGCTGCATCAAAGCCACAGAACTTTAGATGCATTTAAAAAATATCAGGAATGAGTCAGATCCTCCACGTACTCAACCTGGAGTGACTTACAGAGCAGCAGCTGAGGAGTACGCTGGTCTACAGGGAGGAGAAGAAGGCAGCCAGTTACTGCTAACTAGCGAGATGTGCCTCTTTCATCTCTGGGTGGATCCGCTTTGTAATGCTGAATACACACAGAGGGGTAGCACCGGGAAAAGTGGCAGAAAAAAATCACTGAGCCAGAGAGACATGATGCAGAGAAAATGTGAGTTGCATCACAGCTAATTAGCGCAGGACCCCTCCAAAGGAAGCTAGTGGCAAACAAGTCCAGACACGCGAGTGTGATGGATAAATATGCTGCCACCCGATCGCATCATCGTGCGTGCCTCGAATAATGCTGCAGTCATCGTTGCCTCTTCTAGAGACACAGAAAACTCAAAGGCAGCAGATTTTAGTGCGAGATAAAAGCTTGTGGTGAATTTTGAAGTGAGTGGAATATCTGCACCGTGCATTTTAGTTCCTACAGGGCCTCCATCCCATCTGGGTGGTTGTGTTGTCTCAGCCGGACAACAACAACCTGTTAGTGCTGAATCTGCTATCGTCTACAGACCCGTGACTCAGTGTCAACAGGTACAAAAACACCTGCTTCTTAATAATACCCGCTGTTGTCTGGGAAGCTTTTTGTCATGCAAGTCTAATGAACTGGGCTCACCGTGAGCTGGTGCACAAGAAAATTACAAATAAGTAGAAGATACAAAACAGCTGCAATTCATGTTTTTGACAGCAGTTAAACCGATCAGTAAACAGTATATGAGCAGCAGACAATGATGTCTGTCTTCTTAAACAAAGCAGCCAGGTCTGTTGGTCATAAAGTGGGGCAGAGAGAGGATGCAGGAGGAGAAGAGGAGAATGGATGGTTATTAGAGAGAGAAAGTGAGGAGAATGACACAGCACTTTGAGGGCAGGACACAGTCACCACAAAACGGTTGTTGTTATCAAGGCCTGCAAAGTCGTCCTAAATACATCTGTTGTGCGTTGTAACACTGGAGGTCCTTCAGGAAGTGCGCAGGATTTTACCAGCTGAAACAGGTTTAATCATGTCTCACACTATTGATTTTTTCCATTTCCTGTTGCTTTTATTACTGTAATGATTTGTTGATATTACAGCAGTCACGACCCCTCTTATAAACTATGGAATAACTTCTTAAAAGAATGGGGAAAGAAAATAAGATTATAGAAAAATAGAAGATTCCTTCTATTTTTGAGCAAATGCACACTTTATTATTATGCACATTTTCTTTGATTTACACATCAACACGAGTAACATTCCCAACGGTCTCCTGACTTTGTTTCCAAAGTAGAGTTTGCAGGTTAATGCCACAATAATTTGTGTTGTTGCAGCAAATCTTTAAAATAAAAGCGTGCATCTGGACTCAGTTAAGAGCTGCGCTTCTTCAGCAAGAAAAGAAACGCAACAGATGAAAGCGGGAGCAGGGGCTGGGGGGGGGGGGGGGGGGGGGGGAGAAATGAACTTGGAAAAGTCGATGATGTCATGGGTGGAGTATTCTAGCATCTCGATTCTTGTAGCCTCAATAAACTCTTTCCCTGACTGCCACAAACCAGAATCAGCTTTATTTTACCAAATCCACCCCTAAACCTCACAGATTCGTAGGTGGTGATGATTAACCGAACCAATCAGTCTATTTAAGAGCAGACGCAGTAAATCTTTACCATCATCTCCGTCTCTCTCCAGCTCCCTCACAACAGCCGCACTGGGAGGGGAGCTCATCCCACCGGAGAGCATCTATTGACATCCACTCACCGCTCAGCCTCCGCGCCTCCCTTTCCCCACGACGACCGGGCGGTTGGTGACGAGCAGAAGTCAGCGTCTGCTGTTAAGTGTCAGTCCGCCGGTGGAGCTGTAGCTTGAGGCGGTAGCCCGCATCAGATCGCATTGCCAAGCCCTCCCAGCCCGCCCGGCTCGCTTCTCGCTGCTGGCGGCCGAGCTGCGCGGCTGCGCCGTCTTTCTGCGCAGGATGATCCCGGAGTGACGCGGTGCGGTGGAGCTCAGCCGGCCGGCCAATCAGAGACGCGGAAGGAGCTGAGGGCACTGTGTTATTTTGCAACTTAGGTAATGAAATCACACCTCATCCTCCACAGGGCCGGTCCTAGACCGGTAGATGTGAGGGCACGAGCAGAAACGTGAGGCATGGGTTGGTGGTGGGGGTGCTCTATTGTTTTTGTCATGTGATTGGAGTGCAGTTTGGCTTGGCCCTTACCTTTCTTTCTCAGCCGCTGAAACCCGTACTCATGCGTTCATCACGTCACAAACCAACTAATGTCCAGAATTCTGCTGCCTGTATCCTAACCCAGCCTCACGATCACATCATCAGCCCTGCCCTTTGGCTTCCTATGCCTCAGCGCATCCCTGTCAAAGTCCCACTCACATTCAACCTCCATAACCTGGCTGACTCCTTCCTGTCTCACCTGCTCCATCACCACATCCCATCCCTGGGTATTCTTACACAGGAAACTTTAAATGGTAAATGGCCTGTATTTGATAGAGCACCTTCTAGAGTCCTGGAACCCCTCAAGGCGCTTTACAGCACAATCAGTCATTCACCCATTCACACACACATTCACACACTGGTGGGGATAAGCTACAATGTAGCCACAGCTGCCCTGGGGCGCACTGACAGAGGCGAGGCTGCCGAGCACTGGTGCCACCGGTCCCTCCGACCACCACCAGCAGGCAACGTGGGTTAAGTGTCTTGCCCAAGGACACAATGACAGTGACAGACTGAGCGGGGCTCGAACCTGCAACCTTCCGATTACGGGGCGAGCACTTAACTCCTGTGCCACCGTCGCCCCTAAATATAAGGGGCGATGGTGGCGTTATATAATAATGTAATTATTATAAATAATAATTATAAATAATGTGTACAATAAACTGAGCTCAATGCACAATTGGAATGTTTACTTTGAAGAGGGACTTCTTGTGATTTGGTGCCATGTTGTGGAAATTTTATGTTTATTAATTCTTGATCATTGACCAAATCAACTGAATGTAAATGTATTGCTCTATGCCTCTTTGCATGCTCACTCATTCATGCACACACTCTCTCTCTCTCTCTCTCTCTCTCTCACACACACACACACACACACACACACACACACACACACACACACACACACACACACACACACACACACACACACACACACACACACACACACACACATTCTTGACTCCCCCCCCACACACACACACACACACACAATCTCTCTCTCTCTCTCTCCCATTTCCTTCAAATCTCTTGGTATAAATAAACTCTGTGACCAGATGTTCAGGGCCTCGTACATTATGCCACAGTTATAACAGTTTGAATTGTCGTTCACTGTCTCATTTTTCTCTCGAACACACACATTCTTGACTCCCCCCCTCACACACACACAATCTCTCTCTCCCTCTCTCTCTCTCTCTCTCTCTCTCTCTCTCTCTCTCTCTCTCTCTCCCATTTCCTTCTTATCTCTTGGTATAAATAAACTCTGTGACCAGATGTTCAGGGCCTCGTACATTATGCCACAGTTATAACAGTTTGACTTGTCGTTCACTGTCTCATTTTTCTCTCGAACACACACATTCTTGACTCCCCCCCCACACACACACACAATCTCTCTCTCTCTCTCTCTCTCTCTCTCTCTCTCTCTCTCTCTCTCTCTCTCTCTCTCTCTCTCTCTCTCTCATTTCCTTCTTATCTCTTGGTATAAATGAACTCTGTGACCAGATGTTCAGGGCCTCGTACATTATGCCACAGTTAAAGCAGTTTGACTTGTTGTTCACTGTCCCATTTTTCTCTCGACTACAGGAAATGGGTTATTTATAAACATTTTGATAAAATCCATGACATTATTTGGTCCTTCGACAGCTGGGGTGCCATCACCTCGCGGCGCCAAGAAACGACGCCGGAGGACTATCAACAACCTAAATTTCCTCCAGCGCTGAGTTTTGTTGGGGGGTCGGTGGGATCTTGACGTCGCTAGGAGGAATGAGGGTCCACGAACTCAAGCCCTGAGTGGAGAGATTTGGTGAGACAAGTTTGTTGTTTGTTTTTTGTTTTGTGGTACCAAGAGAAAATCCTAGGTGACCAGAGGTCAAATGTAGGTGTGGTCCGCCTGGAATAGGATGGTTTTGACGGGTTCGTTTGAATGCTGTCTGTATTGGCTTGGTTTGCTGCATTTTAGCCGAAATTAGAAATGCAACTCTGTTGTAAGAAACAGAAGTAAACCGGTATGATAACTATTGAGATTCAAATTATGGTGACGTCCGCCTTGACTAGAATGGTTTTGACAGATTCTTTGCATGCTGTCTGTATTTGGCTTGGTTTTAAGTGTTTTGCCGGAGAATTAGAAATGTGCTCTAGTTATCTGTGTTGTTGTTTGTTGTCTTGGATGTTGTCTGCCTTAATTGTTGTTTAGATAAATGAGAGAGGGTATGAATTTGCTTTGTACTTGTGGTATCTACGTATGGGGGAATAAGAACTCACAAACACCTTTTGAATGAAGATGGTACATTGATGGAAATGTAAAACTAGCAAATGGGGAAATGATCTGAAAATCATCAGAGGATTGATGGAAAACATGTTTCGCTGATATTTTGGTAACCGCTGACGTGTGTACTTGCAGGGTAACCTTAGCACAAGAGAGAAAAATGAGAAAATTACTAATGAACTATCAGGATTATGGTTACGAGGATGCACAGAGCGGTGGAGAGAAAGAAAAAGGTTGAAAATGTGAAACAGAGAGGAGGACGAGCATGCCTAAAGAATCAAAACAATTGCAGCTGTGCTCTGAGTCTGAGCCACCAAGGTAAATTGCGGCCTGAAGGGTATAACTGGAAAATAAAGATGAAAAATATAATTTGAACAGATTCTCAAAATTGTTATTTATTTGTTTTGCTATTAAGCACAGCTGCTGAAGACCTTATTGCATTTGAGCCCCTCCATTTTACTTCAGTAAGTCAAGTCCATATTTCATGTTCAGAATGCACACTGTCCACGGTGGTGGGCATGTAGTAAAATTATTAGCAAATTATTAAATGTTACAAACAATATTTGTTGAAATTTGTTTCATTCACACCCCAAGATGAATAAAAAAAAGTGTTAAATAATCATGGTTGAAGATTTCATAACTCATGCATCAAAGGATTAAGCACTGGCCAAATATTTTATTCCTGGTATTCTGGTGACTAATATAATTTGAACTATGAACTGTGCCACTTTTAGTGGCTGACAGGGAAAGGGTTTCAGTGGAACCCCTCAGTTTGAGAAATTGATTGTTTAACAGTACTCATAGACCTATAAAAACTAAATATGTAGGTTTTTGGTTGAACTTCTTGGACAGGGAAATTGACTGTGTGATTTAACAGTAATCCCAGAACAACAAAACTAGTGACTATTGTCAAATAGCATTTTATATCCTTATTTGTTTTTTTAAATCTTTGTCTCTGACATTTTAAAATAAGACAAGGGAGTTCTCAGCAAATGACAATCGAGCCTGGGCAACAGCGGATTTGGTGTGCAGCACCTGTTGAAGTAAGTCGAAAACTGCATTTTGAGCACTCTAAAAATATCGGTTGTCATGAACTGAATGACCTGGTGTCTGTCAAATGTAGAAACTTGTTCAGATCTCCGATTAGCGGACATTGTGATCAGAACAAGGGCAGAAACTGTCTGGAAGTAAAATTGAAATGAGATAGCAGATTAAAGCTGTTGTAGGGAATTTGCATTTAATAAGTTTTAATCCTTTAATTCTTCATGTATTCTCAGCTTGGGAACTTTAAAATGCTTGACACAGAATTTCACTCTCCTCTGTGTCTGGGTTAAACAGCAAGGTTGTATCAGAATGTAAACACGCATTCTAACAGACCTTCGGCGCAAGTGAGACTATCAGCCATCCCTATCAGCCTATCAGCCATGCGATTCTTAAGCAGAAATCAGAAAAGCTTCTAATACAATTCCTAACAGTTAAAAATACCAAGAAGGAAGTGTAACTCCGAGTTGTTAATTTAATTTAAAAGTGGGTTATGGATAAGATAATGTTTTCATTTAAATATGGGTTTTGCACACTTTTAAATTCAGAATGAAGTAGCTGGACAGTTGATTAGAATTCATCTGTCCTCTGTTAACATCGGCCCATGTTTCCTAAATCGGTAGAGATTACGTAAATGTTGGCACAGCTGCATAGAACTGCTCACTTTTGAATTAGGAGAAATATAAAGTTATGTAGTTTCTGGCTGAACCATTTAATATTGGTAAAATTTAAACCGATTAATGAACAGATTTATTGCTGAACACATCAAATAGTAAATTTTTGTACATGACCACATATTTCATTTATTATAGGACAGGCAGTATGATATTGCCTACATTTCAAAACTTGGATTTCATAAAACATGATAAAGTTTAAAAATCTTTGTTACACACCTAAATTTATTTTATAAATAGGATTTAGATGATGAATGAGTGATTCGGCTGTTTCTTAGTAAGATTCAATTTTTTTTCTTTTAACGTGACTGAGTGTAATTATGCCACTTCTCAGGGCCACATGCCCTGAAAATGAAAATCCCACTGTTTCCATATCATAACCCAAACATTATTGCTGAGCCACGCTGACCTATTCAGACAAGAGGTATCAGGCGTCCTTCTTCGAGTGAGGTAGTTAGCTGATTCCTCTTGACATTGACATTCTGCTAACTATCTGACGCTTGTGCGTCTGTTGAATACCAATAAAACTTGATTATGAGAAGAAACAAAATAACGTTAAGCAGAGTGTGACCCCTGATAGAAGGTTAAATGAACAGAATTGAAATGTCAAATTTAGGAGTGATGATAAATGTTTTGTTTTGAACCTAAACTAAACAAACTCTCAAAAGTACTGATTGTGCCCTTTTAAATTATCATCTATGAATGACCTGGTTTGCTCCCTCGAGATGATTCTTAAATACTATTGTTAATCAATATCTTTAGAGATT